TTGGAAAGATTTATTAATCTATTTGTGCGACCAAATTTCAGTTTCCAAAACCACCACAACCAAAGAGACAGCGTTGAGCCCTGGATCAGCCCCTAGAGTGTCAGAGTCTCCCCTGTTCATGAATGCCGCTTCTTGCAGCGAGGTTTTATACAGTTTATTGTGCCCGAGGCAAAGATGACCAAATTTCTTTTGTAACTCTTCACATTCATCACTGTTTATTTCAATGTGCAGAGCTGGACAAAGACTGGTTCCAGGTGTGTTGTCAGTGTTGATGGGCTCCAAGGAAGCCATGTATTCAGATGTATTAGTTTGGTGCTGCTGACTATCTTGATTGATGCAATCAGCAAGGTGATAATTGCTCTTAGGTGGTTCCCAACGACTCGAGATACCGGCGATCATCGCCCTGGAAGCTTCTATTTTTACGTTAAAGCATCGATCATTATCTTAGCTTGTGTCTGGGAATTCGTTGTAATCTGAATAGACAGCTGCTCTCGGCCGAGGTGTTCTGAGACATAGTTTTGGATTTTTACAATCTTTTATGCCATACATTAATAGCATGAATTATCCCTACCATACATTACAGCAGATATTAAAAAGGAATATTATGTGTGTTATGTTGTATTAATTAGTAGTGTAATATATGTTATAAAATAATTTGTGCTATAGGAAATTAAAAACCACAGCATTTTGTGTATTAAAGCCAGTGTCAGGCAACAAGCAGTAATAGTGTAGTAGCGTAGTGTAGCAGTTGTAGTAGTGTAGCAGTAATAGTAATAAGTGATAAGGATGGAGATTCAAACACCAGGAGGATGACTGTCTCGAGAAGTATTCACCAGTTCTGAGAAACACAGCAGCAAAAAAGAAAACACTACAAAATGGCCCTTCCAGAGCCCAAAAAACTGTATAAAACAAACCCCTTAGAAATGACATTTGGAGACACACGGGGACTTTGGTGTGATAGAGGCCAAATCCTGGCTATCCCCGACTCTGATGGCCTGGCTAAGAGTCAAAGTGCTTTTGGCTTTTTCCGAATTCATTCTTTGATTATTTAATAAATTTCCTTAATTATTAAATCGGAGTATTCATTTATAACAGTAATAGTGTATTTTTTAAAGTAGTGGGGTAAATATAGTTTTAGGCTATAATATAATGTTAAAATAGAAACTGTGCGATGTAAGATACTTTTTTAACTAGCTCAAGAAAAGGATGAGACAATCAAGAAATTCTTTGCACAGAGATAACAGCAACAAAACACCTAAATCCCCAAGAGAAGAATTACTGCCTCCTTATCAGAAAAGACCAACTTTTTTCCATCTCCTTCCTGCCTGTGAGGAGCCAAAAGGATTAAGAGGGAGAAGTTGACAATAACCACAGAAGACCCTCTGTTTGAAAAGAATTTATGCATCATGTATGAACTGTATGAATATGCAACAGGCTATTGCTTTTAAGGGTTAGTCCTTTGTTAGCAGGGGTGCTTTCGGGGCTTAATTGCCCTAGGAGAGTATCTGAACATCCATATTTCTTTGCTTTTTATAGTCTTCTATTGTCCTAACTCTGATTGTCCAAATTCTTATTGCTCTAATTTTTATTACTATTTTTATAACCATTTTATTACTATTAAACTTCTAAAATTTTAAAACAAGTGACTGGAGTTTTTCACAGGCCTCCCTCTTTTCGAAACAGTCCTTTTTGCGAATGCCTAGATTTCCTGCACACAAAGAAAGTTTGGGGGTCCAAGTCTTTTTCTTTTAGATAAATGGATGCATTTATCACAAGGGTCAGGAGGGAATGGATCTCATAATCTGAGTCTATCTGCCCTGGATCAAAGGGCTCCCCCTCCTCACTGCTAGAGCCGCAGTCAGCAATATAAACTGCTAATGACTGTGAGAAAGGATGCCTCCCCCTCCTTTGTCTGGGCAGGGTTGATGGCTGCAGCTGGTCTTCAGACCGAGAGGTGCAAGTTTCAGGTGGGCAGGGAGAGTCAGAGTGAGGAGAGACAGAGCAGGGTAGGGGGCCTGCAGCATCCGGCCGCTCTTGCTTTTTCAACATCTTAAAATGCATTCTCCAGGATGGGAGTAAAAGTGACTGAAGGTCCTGCTTTGCCATGGGGGAATCATGCCTGCCCAGAGGGGCAAGCATGGTTTCATAGATGTCTCTCTCTTTGGACATTTCCTTTCCCATTTTTAGTTCTTTTTTTTACTTCCCCTGGCTCAGTCGCAACACATAGGTGATTGTGGGCCCAGACACAGTTCTCTCACCACCACGATCTCTTGGATTTCTGTGGTTGAAATGGTTCCCAAGGTATTAGAAAGTCTCCTTTTTCCCAGCCCATGACCGAAGAAGTCGAGATTCGTCAGTTCTGCTTTTCAAGATTATTTTCTCGTATCTGTTACATTCCTCTGACCTGCTGAGATCTGTCGAGCAGATCAGTTCGTGCCACACTGACCGCCCTTGGGGTGATGTTAGCTTTTTATACTAAGAACTACATGTACTTTATTTACAATAATTTTCCAATACCTATCACCTATGTTAGACAGTCTGTCTCTGTTCTAAACAAATCAAACAGTGTCACCATCACAGCAGAAGATGGAGGACAAGAAGAAGAAGAAGAAGAAGAAGAAGGACAAGACATGCCAAGATCCCTCCATCTTGCCTCCTGAACCCCCATTCTGAATCACCAAAATTCTACTTTTTCACACTGTGACAAATTAACTATCATTCTGCTCGAACTCTTGTGGCTTGTAAATCTTCATACAAAGTTGGTAATTGTTTCCATGGGATAAAATTGAAGGCACAGGTGTTTTTGACTCCGTGCCAATATCTCTAAGCCCCCTGTCAGGGTCTCAAGCCATCCAGGGAAGCCAGAGGAACATCCTGGGTTCTGACAAAGATCAGTTCAAGGGGCTCACCGACTGCTGCCATTGAGGCCAGTTCATTTCCTCACATGGAGGCACCAATTGTCAGCGATGGAGAGAGACAGGGAGACTGACTCGGTGATCAGAATCCGATTTCATTGTGGCACACAAACACTTATATACTATTTTAGGGAGACTAATAATGTATACTACAATAATTAGGTTAAAATCACATACACTAACTTATGTGTGAAAAATGCATATTTTGTGATTGCCTTTTTGCAAATATTGAAATGAATATTATATGTGTTATGTTAGAAAGTTATGCTGTATTAATTTCTTTAAGTAGTGTGTTAAATATAGTTTTAGGTTATAACATAATGTTAAAATAGAAACTATTATATGTAAGATACTTTTTTTAAGAGAGGACTCACACCAAGATAGCAGCCACAGGACACCTAAATCTTTCAGAGAAAAATAATTCATTGCTCTCTTATCAGAAGAAACAAACTCCTTTTTGCCTCACTCAGTCCTGAAGACACCATTAGGATTAAGAGGAAGAAGTTGAAACTGACCAGACAGAATCCTTTGTTTGAATGGAATTTATGCATCATGTATGAGGTGTATGAATATGCAGTAGGTTATTTCTTTTAAGGGTTAATCCTTTGTTAACAGGTGTCCTTTTTCAGGCTTCTTTTGCCCAGAAAGAGGTACCTGGACTATCTGCAACACTTTGTTTTTATTATCTTGTATTGTCCTAATCCCAATTGTTCAAATTTTTATTACTCTAATTATATTACTATTTTTTTCACCATTTTATTACTATTAAACTTTTAAACTTCTAAAAACAAGTGATTGGTGTTTTTCACATATGAATATAACAGCATCTCTTGCTTGCAGAGTTGAATGGGATTTCCTTTTTCCAGTAAAGCCATCTGATGGAATCCTACTGCAATCTAGGTCTAATTTTCAAAGTTCCTTTTGCTTTTGCCAAGGCATCCTGTAATCAAATCTCTTATGTTAGCTAGGTCTGAAAGCCATCTTCTGTCTTGTGTCTCCTAACATCCCAATAGGGAAGAGTGCAGGGTCACCTTTCCTAAAAGAAAACAGGTCCAAGGGAGATGGGATCAGCACCACCTGTACACCCAGGAGCTCTGTGCAGAAGTAGCAACACAGAAAAGGGCCATGGGGAAGGGGACACATGTGCCACTGAGTTCTTGGAAAACCTTGGGCAGAGGCCAGGCCATTCCATCCACATCCTGGCTCCTGCTGGACCCCCTTGGGGTGCTTGGCTGGCTCTGGCTCCCTCTGGCAGAAGTAGCCACACATGTCCAGGTGCTCTTCTCCAGCCACATGTGGGCATTGGCCCCCACCACTGTCCTGGGGCACCCACCACCAACCAAAGCTACAAAAATACAAAAAGAACCCCCAAAAATAAACTTCTACAGTTATCTTCAAGCCATAATCACAACAATCTAAAGTGAAAACATAAAGGAAAGCAAAAGCCACCCAAATCGTCACAAACTTGGCAGTCATACATGGCACAGCCACTCACCCCCAGGCTTTCCTGAGCACAGAATGTTCCACCAGCACCCACAATGATGCCACAGCCAAGGCGGCAGCCAGGAACAAGCACCCAGACATTACAAGGATGGGTACACAAGGTGAACAAACAATGATGGGAACTCAGAGATTCCCAATGATAAGCACTTCAGGAAAGGGAATACCTTATCCCTGGGAGACTGAGGGGCTGGGGACAGAGACTGTCCTGGGGAAGTCACTGCTCAGGGCTGGGGGGCAACAGGGCTTCCCAGCACCTCACTGACAGCATCATGGGTGGGGGGCTGCCCCAGGAGGGAGGGACCCTGTGCCCCAGCAGGGACCCTGCCCCTTCCCAGAGCAGAGCCAGGTGTCCCCACCATGTCCCAGCATGGTGCCAGCACCATGAGGGGCAGATGTGGCCATTCCCAGGCAGGACCATGAGTGTGATAAGAGCAGGCAATGAGACTGAGAAGCCCCTGTGTCCACAGTGTGGGACAGTCCCCACGTGTCAGCAGCAGGCAGGGACACTCCAAGGTCCCCAGCAGTTCAAACACTATAAGAGGGGTGAGCAGCCCCACCACAGCACCTTTGCTCCACACAACCATGCTGGGAGCCGTCTGTCTCGTCGTGCTGCTGGGCTACGGTAGGTGCAGGGCATGGGGAAGGGTCAGGGCAGGGGGGACAGGACCGTGGCGCCTGCCCTGGCCCTGGGCACGGGCACAGGCAGCCTCTGATGTCCCTTTGCCGGGTGTCACACAGCCTACGGATGCGGTCAGCCGGCCGTGCCACCACAGCTGAGCTCCCGCGTGGTGGGCGGTGAAGACGCTGTAGCCCACAGCTGGCCATGGCAGGTGAGGGGCACAGGGACAGGGATGGGGACAGGGATGGGGATGTGCCTGCTCTGACCCTGTGCCTCTGCCCTCAAAGATCTCGCTGCAGTACAGCCGCTCTGGATCCTGGAGCCACACTTGTGGTGGGACCCTCATTGCCCCCCAGTGGGTGCTGACAGCTGCCCACTGCATCAGGTGGGTGGGTGTTGGGGTGCTGGGGGCGATCTGTGCCATGCAGGTAAGAAATCTGTGGGGACTGACACTCCCTCTCTCCCTGGCAGCTCTTCAAAGACCTATCGTGTGGTGCTGGGCAAGCAGGACCTGTCAGAGGATGACGAGCCTGGTTCTGTGGCCGTGGCTGTGGAGAAGACAATTGTCCACGAGAAATGGAACTCTATCCTTATCATGTAGGGATGGAATATATCCAGGAGTCAGTGGGGGGCAACAAAGCTGGGGACCACTGTCTCATGGTTTGTGTCCCCCTGTAGCAACGACATTGCCCTGGTCAAGCTGGCAGAGGAGGTGCAGGAGACTGACACCGTCCGTGCCGCCTGCCTGCCGGCTGCTGGCAAGATCCTGTCCAATGACTACCCCTGCTATGTCACCGGCTGGGGACGCATCAGGAGTAAGTGGGATGTCCCCGGACGGTCCCCAGGGGTCCCTGGGCAGGGGGTGTGCAGAGTGTGAAGTGTGACTGTCCTTGCAGCCAACGGGCCCCTGGCTGATGCCCTGCAGCAGGCTCTGCTGCCTGTGGTGGACTATGAGACCTGCTCCAAGTGGGACTGGTGGGGCAGCCTTGTGCGCGACACCATGGTGTGCGCCGGCGGCGACGGCATCGTCTCTGGATGCAACGTGAGTGTGGGCACTGCTGGGTGGCACCTGCCCCCAGCCCAGTGTAGGATTGAGAGTGGTGCTGGAGCTGTGCAGGGCAACAGGTTCCATGAGAAGCACAGGAGGGGCAGGGATGGAGCTGCAGTGGAGTGTTGGAATAAATCAGCCAAGACTCCATTTTCTTCATGCAGAAAGTGAATTCTTTATCCACAAAACTCATATTTATAGGAAATATCAGAAGGCACTGTGTTAAACCTAGTTGGTCAGCAATACAGTGAAATTCAGGTCACTGGTTGGCAAGCACTATTGAATAAGTCTACCAAATTTTCTCTCTCTAGATATGTTTCCATTTTCCCTTTGTGGGTTCTCATGGGACAAATCTTATTGTTTACAGAGATGCATTTGTTTTTCACTCTCAGAATAGATTGTTGTGTTAAACGAACTTCTCATTCACAAAATAGCTTAGCTGCACTCAGAAGAAATGACAGGCCAGCTTTGGCAATTTTAGCACAGCAAGGTCTGACTTCATAAGGCCTTTCTTTTATAATTCTTCTACCTGTCTATGACAGTGGTGGGTCCTGGGTGGATGTGGGCTGTGCCAACTGGGTGCCCAGGACTGATGGCCCACACTGTCTGTCTGCACAGGGTGATTCTGGGGGCCCCCTGAACTGCCAGCGTGACGATGGGATCTGGGAGGTCGAGGGCATCGTCAGCTTCGGCTCTGGCCTGAAATGCAACATGAAAAACAAGCCAACAGTCTTCACCCGGGTGTCTGCCTACATCGACTGGATCAACGAGGTGGGTGCCCCTTCCTCCTGCCCTCTGCAGGTTGGCCACACTGCCCCTGCCCTGCCAGAGGTCTCACCATGAGCCTCCTCGTGTCTTTCTTTGGCAGAAAATGAGCGCGAACTGAGAACACAGCATGGAGCACAAGTACTGACTGTGATAAAAGCAATACTGCTACGCTGGTCTTGTGTGGTTCTTTCAAGGGGATGTGATGGAGCAGAACCAGGGGGCTGCACCTTGTGGTCCTCGGCTTCTGCCTGTGTGCTGGGGAGAGCCCCCACGTTGTGCAGTGAGGCTGGGCAGGCTCCTGGGGAGCCTAAAGTGGGCAGAGATCCCCCACAAGTTACTCCCAGCCATGTAGATCCATGGCCATCACCAAGCCAGAGGGTTCAAAGCTTGACTGGTGGTTTGATGGGAGAGTGGCTGGAAGCTGGCCTGGTGGTCCTGGGGGATCTCTAGCGAACTTGGGGGGGGCTATAGGGCCCCGAGTTGGCCCAAGGTGTCTTGGCTCGTGCTGGGGTGTTTCAGTGGATCTTGCTGGTAACTGGGCTACTTGATGGCAGCAGATTTATAATGGGGGTGCTGAGGTAACTGGGCTGGTCCTGGAGGTCATTCCCCAGCCCCACCACACTGACTCCACAACCTGTGCTGCCAGAGTGCTCTACTCTGTTCTCATCTCTGCCAGGGATGCCCTGGGGAAGGAGCAGCCACTGCAGTCCATGTCATGGAAAGGAGAGGGATGAGGCTGAGCCATCTCTACCCAAAGTCACCCCCACCCCAGTCCCAATGCTTTCTTAGTGAGGGAAGCAGGGAAATAAACAAGGGAAGAGTGGAGGGTCACCTTTCCTGAAGGAGAACAGGTCCAGGGGAGATGGGATCAGCCCTGGGATCACCTGCACACCCAGATGCTCTGTACAAAACTGGATAACATGGGACAGGACAGCCCAGAGCCCCACTCCCCTGGGGGATGGAGAAGGGGAACAGAGAAGGAGACAACCATGAGTTCTCACAAACACCTGAGCACAGGCAAGGCCACCACAGCCACACCCCAGCTCTAGCTGGACCCTCCTTGGGGTGCTCAGGGCAGCCCTGGCTTCCTCCTGCAGCACCCTCAGGGCACCTGAAATGCTCCCACAGGAGTGTGGAAATACTCAGTGACTGCAAAAGCAGATTGGATATTCCCAGGTTCCAAATCCCCAAGCACCCCTCAGCACAGACCTACCCTAAGGCCTCTACACCTCCCAAGGGTGGCTCCAAGGATTCTTTTCCCCCTCAAAATCTAACACAGATGCAGGATTTCTGACCCAAGGCCATCATGGTAGCAGCTCCTTAAGAACTTTACCTCAGCACTGGTATTTCAATGAATCCTCATCAGTTTCCTGTAGTAACTCCCAACTGACTCCTCAAAAGGATCAGGATCATAGGCTGGCACAGCCACATTGGTAATGACCAGACAGAGCAGCACAGACATGAGTGAAGGTTCCTACTCTTCCCACTTCAGAGGAGCCTTCAGGAGGTGCTGAAATGGCAATGAGGAGATGGAACAGACAAGGGAATACAGCTAAAGATTTGCTCTTTAATTGCATTTATTAGAAACACTGACTGCAAAACTCATCCCATTTCACTTGAACATCAGACCCTGGTCCCCTCAATCAGTTACCTGGACAGCACAGGACACAAATACCATGATCAGCAAAGAAAAACCCTCTGAGGCCGAGTGTGGCCGTGTCAGGGTGAGCCAGAAGTGCTCTCCTCTGGCTCCGTTCTCCAGCAAAGGGACTTCCTGCTCCATCCACATTTCCCACTGGCACAGCACAATCTCCCTCTCATCTCCACTGCATGGCAAAGCCAACGCTCGTGGATCACATTTCTCCAGACAAACATCTGGACACACAGACAAAATCCACAGGGAGCACTGACACCAAGTCGTGGTGAGCACAGATTTCATTCAGCCACAGGAAGAATCTCCAGTGCTTGGCAGGGGGCTCGGAGCCCATGTGTCAGCGGCACATGAAGAAGAATTTTTTACGGAGGAAATTGAAACATCCCGGGATCTGCTTGTACCTCCCCTTGGCAGAGACAGCGTGTGCCACCTGGGAACAGAAGAGAGGCTGAGGAATGGGATGTTCTCCCCATCCCTGGGAATCAATGGCTGCCATGCCAAGGTGGCCAAAGAAGCACCGCAACAACCAGAAAACAACAACAAGGTGATTCTGTACATCCTCTCTCCCTCCACACTGGACTTTTCTCCTACCCATGGAGAACAGAAAAAGTATCTGGGGCACCTACACTTGTACACAACTTTGGCAATATTGAGTCAACAAGGCAAACAAAGAAAGATGTTTATCAGCCAGACTTATTCCATAGCCCTGTGCATTGTGCTCCTCCAACCCCAGGACAAGCTTACAGGAGCACCCAAATCCCATCAGCTTGGATAGGACAAGCCATGACATTTTTAGCAATTTCTTCAGAAGGATTAAAGCCTGTATTGCCAAGATTACTTCTCACTGGAGAAGCCTCCAATGATTTTTGGTAGATTGAGGCTAGACACTTTCCTTGTAACTAAACCTCTCTGCAGTACCTCCAATGAGCCCATCCCTAAACTCAACACTCAATATCCTCACTGCTTTTTTGAGTGTAGGCCTCCATGCCTCAACTGATCACACCCCTGACTATTTCCTTCATCAGCAAAAAGCAGAACAAAAAAGACATTTACCCTCACTAACATGCTCAGCAGGTCTTCTGAATGGGCATACTGCTCCAGCACACTGTCCAGTGTTTCCACATACCACGAGCCACTTGACTTCTCCCTCCAGGAGACAAAACCTTCAGAGAAAGAAGGAGAATGTTATGCCAAAACCCATCTGCTGGTCTCACCCCAACAAGCTCATAGTGCTCCAACAGAGCTCAATTATCCTGAACTGCCCCTATCTTTGGCCATGAAGCTCCAACTGTTTTGCGAATTCCCCCATGCTCAGAAAAGGATTTGCACAGGCTGTTTCACCTGGAAAAGTTGAGTAGGAAACCAAGATGTCACTAGGTGTGGGCAAACTGGCAATGGCATCAGGCTCATCCATGTTATCTGATGAAACCAGAAACGGGGTCGCGTCCGATTCCAAGGAACCTCCAGGAGCTTCCTCTTCAGGGGAATCACAATCCACTACAAAGCCTTGATCCCTTTGTTCTGAAAAAAGCAGCAACAAGACAGCTCCTGACGTCCATTCCACCCAAGAGATTCACAGCTGTACATTAAGAAAAGATGGGGAAAGAAAAGGAAAAAGGCCCTAGAACAAAGTAAGGCTTTTTGGCCATTCAGCAGCACTGGTTGAGTCAAAGTCATTGGTAGTTTATACGAAATTCCTCACTGTGTGTGAAGAGCTGGAGTGGCCTCTCAACAAATAAAAGAAGAGGCAGCTGGTGTGAGAAGACAGTTGGAGAGAGGGGCAATCAATGAACAGAAAGGGAGCCAAAGCCACAGCCTGACCACATCTCCGCAGCCCAACGCTACCGGAGCCAACACAAAGATTCACCTCCACCACAGGCCTGGATGAAGAACAGTTTGGGTTTTCCTCTCAAACTCAGGCAATTGGACCCATTGAAATAGTTCACAATCTTTTCTATGGGAATGGGTTTTCCATCCGTTCCATAAACGCCTCCAGGAAACTGAATATGGCTCGTCTGCAAGAGGAAAATGCAGGAGCTAGTGACAGGGAAGGCAAGGCCCGTTCCAAGGGGGCCCATTTCCCATCAGGTGCTTCATGGCATAAAGGTACCAGAACAAATCCTGGTGTTTGTGGGAATCCCTGTGGCCAAATCAGGGTGAGGGAACATACAGGGACATTTGAAATGCACTAAAACCCAGTAATCCAACTTCTGTTATCCAACTCATATCCCACATCCTCCAGCAAAGGAGTTCTTCATCCTTTGGTACAATGGGCACATACCATACACCATTTTCCCAAGAATGCTTCTCCTCATCCTTTAGGAACTGACTTGGAATAAAGAGGCTTTATTGCTAATAGCATCTCCCAGTCAGAGCTGGAGAATGGGAAGGACTGAATCACCACAACATGAGGCTGACTGGGACCTCCCTGCAGCTCCAAATTATTAGCCTCAACTTCCAAAATGGAAAACACTTGTCTACTGGCACCATTGGATCAGACCACATCAGAGAAGCTCCTGTTTTCTTTAACACAGAATAATGGTGTAACTCTTTGAAATGCACTGCAATGGCAGAACAAAGTTTTGACAGACCACTTCCCTCTCACCCTGTGTGAGACCACAGGACAGGGAATTAACCCTTTCCCACAGCAAAGGAACAAAGGGAGAGATGGGACAAACCCACCTGACAGCCATGGGAGAGGATCACCACAATGCAGCAGGCCAAAGCACTGTGGTCCTGCCGAGACAGCTTCAGCAGCTCCAACACCATTTCCTGTGTAGAAAACATCACAAAGAGAGTCCTTTGAATCATACGTCAGCCACAGGTTACTGCCAGGCCCTGTTCTAACTGCACTGCCATGGATCCTGTCAATCTCTGCCACAGGATAACAGGAGCCCAGAGTACAGCCATTGGCAGAGAGTGAGAGTTTCTGCATCTCTGCCCTTATTTAACACTGGCTGCTTTAATCACACAGATTTCTCACCTCTCTATACTCTTTACAACACAGCACCACAAACCAAAGCACATTTCCACATGATTTATCTGATGAAATCCACTGTTTCTGACCAGGAGCTGGTGGGTGAGCAAAGAACCATATTTATTTTCAGGTGATCAAGTTCCCTCCAACACTCCCAGTAACAGCCAAGGATGGCACAGACAGACATGACACAGCTGTTCAAGCTATCCCAAAAACTCAGCCTCACCAAATCCCTACAAATCCCAATGAGGATTCAACATTCATGCCGAAGGACAAAAATGTGCAAGGTCCTCTCCCCATCTGCAATTGCAGAGCAACAATAAAGTAAGAGGATGCAAGTAGTTCATTGTTTCTTTGTGGGAGGTTTTTGGTGTGCTGCCAACACAAGACACATCCCCTAAAGCATTCCTATTGCTTCCAGGGGCTGACCTCTCATCCCTCGTGTCAGCAGGACACACCCAGGCTCACCTGAGCTTTCAGATCCCGCCGGGTCAGGACAGTGAAGCGCAAGGCCCTGAAGCGCCTCTCCAGCTTCTCACAGTCAATGTCAGAGCCCTCTCGGGTGGACAGACCCGAGTCTCTGGAGAAATTGACGTTATTGAGGATCAGGCAGTGTCCACAGGGATCTGCTTTCATCTCATAATCCTGGCAGGGACGAGTTACAATTAAACTCCTTCTTATTCCAAGTGCTTGCTGGCTAATCCAGCAGGATACAATGCCTGTGAGGAATGGGAGTCCTTAAAGTGGCTCATTTCACAGCCACTACTCATCTACCCATCTCTAATCCTAGGGATGGGTAGAAGCACCCTTTCTCCACACACATCTTCTCATCAGCAGCAGGGAACAAGAAACAACCCACAAAACTGGGGAAAGCCTTTGTGGAAAACCAGCTGCTGCTTTCTCTGTAGCATGTCCAACAGCAAGTTGAAATTTCTGGGAAAATTTTCTAGGCATCATCATCAAACCTCACCAAAAGGAGCCAAGAATTTGTGTTATCACTGTGGTAATCTTAAGGAGGATCTGGCTAATGACTGATCCACTCTGAGATCATCAGCCCTGTTACTGCCTTGGAGCAATTGCTCAGGCATGACAAAGTGAGAACCAGCTCCTCCAGACATACTTTCTGGTCTGGAGTCACCCATGAGGCACAGAGCTTTTGCCTAGTAGGGAACACTTTCAGCTTTCTCAAATACTAACCTGGTCACGCCTCCTCTTGTCAACAGCAGAACCTACAACACAAAACAGGCACAGGATTCAGCCCAGCACACTCCACAAGAAGATCACACTCCTAAAGTTTGCATCTTTCCCAACACATATGAATTTCCCCTTCCCACACACTGGAAATGAGTCTTTAGCATGCTGTGGCTCTAGGAGTGGAATGTGGCTTACCCCGGGCTGGCACAGGAGGCATTCGAGGTCTTTCTCTCTCAGCTTGCACTGGGATAGACAGACATTCATGAGGGGTCACATCTGTAATGGCATGGGACAAAAATACAGATGATGAGTCCAAGCTCAAAAGGTTCCGTGGCTGAAAAGCAGGACATACAGGCTGCCCCAAGAAGCTGTGGAGGCCCCACCCTGGCAGTGTTCAAGACCAAGTTGGACAGGGCTTGGAGCAACCTGGAATAGTGGAAGATGTCCCTGCCCACGACAGGAGATGGAATGAGATGAGCTTTAGGGTACCTTCCAACCCAAACCATTCTAGGAGTCCATGATTCTTCCAACAGTCACCTCTACCAGGATAATAAAAATCATGACTTCCTAGGCTCTTGCCCACAGTGAGAGGGATCCCAGCTGCCACCCTCCATGCTGTTTGCCAAAAACACATCACACCCTCAGCACTGACTTTTACGCTGTTTTTCCTCCCGCAGCTCCAGCTCCACGGGCCGCAGGTCTGGCAGCTGCGGTGGCACCGGCCGGGATTCGCACTCCTGGATCAGCATCTCAGCGAGGTCGCCCTGCCTGGTGTCCCGCAGGATGGAGAGGAAGGCAGGGAAAGCCTGCTTCCCTCGAGTCTCCAGGTCAATGATCAGCTGCCGGGCTTGCTCCGCTCGGCTGCCAGCGCTCTGCAGAGGAGAAAAACCCAGAGCGGGGGTTTGTGCAGTGCCTGGGCAGCCCTTCCAACCACTCTGAGCAGGGAAATGTGGGATCCACACCCAGGACAGGGACACAGGGTAAACAACAGCAAAACGAGTGGAAATAGCCAGAGACCCCCACCAGACCCCCAGCCCTGACCTCCCTCCAACAACAATGGTCACTACTGGGACACCCAGCCTGATGAGGGGTCTAGAGGGAATGGGGGAGAGGGAGCACCGCAAATCTGGCCCCTGGGAATAAAAAGGCACCCTTGGGCTGTCACCAGTGTGTAAGATGGGGTAAAAACACTCCCAGACCTGCCACCTGTAACCACGGGGGGAAACAAGAACACCTTAAGGGTGTCATCAGACTGGGAAGGGGACACAAAGAGAAACCCCTACACGTGGCACTGGCCAGAGCTGGGGACAAGAAGGGACAAGTGGGGGGGGGGTGATTCTCAAACATCTGCATAAGGACCAACGCCAGGCCTTGTCATCAGAGTGAGGGGACACAGGGCCATCCCTTTGGGCCTGTCACCAGGACTAAAGGGACATGGAGCTCCCCTATGAGCTTGTCACCAGAGTGAGGGGACCTGGACAGGACAGTCCCTCCCACGTCTTTCACTAGAGTGAGGGGACTTGGGGGCCATCCCCCTGACCTGTCACGGGGCTCCGGGGACATGGGTTCCTCCTTTGGGCCCAAGAGGACACAGAGCCACCCCTCTCAGGCCTGTCACCAGGGTTAGGCGACATGGGGGCCACCCTTCAGTCTTGTCACCAGGGCTCAGGGGATGCAGAAGCTACCCCGCCGTGCCCGTCCCCGGCTCTCAGGAAACACGGACCCTCCCCGGGCCAGCCCCGGTGCTCAGTGTCCCGCCCCCCGGCCCACCTGCAGCTCCTCCAGCATTGGCCGGGTGAAGAGCCCGCGCTGCTCCAGCGGGTCCCAGAGCGGCTCCACCCGCAGCGCCGCCACCAGCCGGGCCCGCCCGCGCCGCAGCGCCCGCCGCTGCTGCTCCTCCATGGCCCCGGAGCCTGGGCTGCCGCAGCCGTGCTCTGCCCGGGACCGCCGCTCAATGCCCGGACACACCGCCGCGCAATGCCCGGACACACCGCCGCGCAATGCCCGGGACAGCTGCTCAATGCCCGGGGCCGCCGCTCAATGCCCGGGACAGCTGCTCAATGCCCGGGACCGCCGCTCAATGCCCGGGACCGCCGCTCAATGCCCGGACACACCGCCGCTCAATGCCCGGACACACCGCCGCGCAATGCCCGGGACAGCTGCTCAATGCCCGGGACCGCCGCTCAATGCCCGGACACACCGCCGCTCAATGCCCGGGACAGCTGCTCAATGCCCGGGACCGCCGCTCAATGCCCGGGACACGCCGCTCAATGCCCGGGACAGCTGCTCAATGCCCGGGACCGCCGCTCAATGCCCGGGACAGCTGCTCAATGCCCGGGACCGCCGCTCAATGCCCGGACACACCGCCGTTCAGTGTCCGGACCCGCCGCCGGTCCCTTCTCGGACTTGCTGCTCTGCCCCGCACCTGTCCCTCTGCCTCAGACCCACCGCCGGTCCCTTCCCGGAGCCGCCGCTCTGCCCCGGAACCGCAGATCTGCCCCGGAACCGCAGCTCACTGCCCGGAAGCGCCACCGCCTCCGAGTTCCGGAATCACACACGGACTCAGGCTGGAAGAGCCCTGCCGTGGTCCAGAAGGGTCATCCCAGAGCGAACGGAACATGATTCCGTCCTTTTGTGTTTTGGTGTTTTGTTAGGTTTTTTTAAAATATCTCCAGGGATGAACACTCCACGCCCTCTCTAGGCAGTGTGTCACCCGCACAGCAAAGTTCTTCCTCATGTTCAGATGGAACTTCCTGTGCATCAGTTCCTGCCAGTTGTTCTTGTGCCATTGCTGGGCCCCCCGGAGAAGAGGCTGAGCCCTCCCTGCAGACAGGGACAGACAGGACGGGGATGAGGGCCCCTCTCAAGGCAGAATAGCCCCTGCTCCCTCAGCCTTTCCTCAGCAAGGGAGATGCTCCGGGCGAGGAGCCCAGGGCTGGACACAGCACTCAGCAGAGGGACACAGGGGCAGGGTCACTCCCTGACCTGCTGCCAGTGCTCCTCCCAGTGCACCCCAGGGCCCCCAGGACACTCTGCTGGCTCCAGGACCATGGGACCCCCAGGTCCTCCCTGCAGAGATGCTCCAGCAGGCACCACTGCCTGTGCTGGTACTTGGGGCTGTTCCTCCCCAGGGGCAGGACCTGCATTGCCCTGTTGAGCACCATTAAGTTTCTCTTTGTCTAATTCTCCAGCCTCTCAAAGTACTGCTGAATGGGAGCACAGCCTTCAGGTGGATCAGCCACTTCCCCAGTTCCATATCATCACTAAACCTGCTGAAGGGTACATTCCATCAGTCTGTCCAGATCGTTGATAAACAAGTTGATTAAGACTGGACTACTGGACCCAGTATAGATCTTTGGGGAAGCCACTTGAAGTCTTTGACTGCAGACTTCCAAGTGGATGATGCCCTCTGAGCTCTGCCACCCAGACAGCCCTTGATCCACCTCACCACCCATTCATCCAACACACATTCCCTAAGCCAGCTGTGGTGGGTTAAGCTGAGCAGGAAATTAGGCACTACGCAGCTCCTTGCTCAACTCCCCCCTTCTCTTCTCCTCCCACCCTGTGGAATGGGAAGGAGAATCAAAGTAAAACTTGCATGTTGAGAAAATAACAGTTTAATAATTGAAAATAAAGTAAAATACAGTAGTAATGGTAGATTATAACAACAACAACAATAACAATAATAATAATAACAACGATAATAAAGGGGAAAACAAGTGATGCACAATGCAGTTGCTCCCCATCCACTGACTGATGTCAGATCCCCTTCCTGAACCCAGACCAGCTCCTTGCCAGTCACTCCCCCCAGCTGATACACTGGGCATTCTGTGGTGTGGAATATCCCTTTGGCCAGTTCAGGTCACCTGTCCCATCTGTGCTCCCTCCCCGTTTCCTTAGTGAACCTCCTCACTGCCAGAGCATGAGACAAGAAAGAAGTCTTTGACTTTGGACAAACACAACTTAGCAAAAACCCAAAACAGACTCACAGAACATGCTGACTTGGAGGGGACTCAGATGGATCATCGAGTCCCAGTCCTGCAGAGGACACCCCATGAGTCACATCATGTCCTCTGGAGCTCCTTGAACTCAGACAGGCTCTGTGCTGTGCCCATTCGCTGGGGAGCCTGTTCAGTGCTCGACCACCCTCTGAGGGAAGAACCTTTTCCTAACATCCAGCCTAACCCTGCTCTGACAGAGCTCCAGCCATTCCCAGCCATTCCAGCTGTCACTGTCACCAGAGCAGAGATCAGTGTCTGTCTCTCTCCACGTCCCCTCAGAGAAAGCTGTAACTGGGATGAGTCTCCCCTCAGTCTCCTCCAGCTGAACAGACCAAGTGCCTTCAGCCGCTCCTCCTCCCGTCAAGGCCCTTCACCAGCTTCTCTGCCCTCCTCTGGACGCTTTCTAACACCTTAATATCCTTCTTATATTGCGGTGCCCACACCTGCCCTCAATATCCCAGGTGAGGCCGCCCCAGCGCAGAGCAGAGCGGGACAATCCTCTCCCCCCAGCCCAATGCCCCCCAGGACACGGCTGCCACCATCCCCATTCCGAACCCACGGCACGGCACTGCCGCGGCCCCTCCGCAGGCCCTCACCTCCGAGCGCGCCGCCGGCAGCCCCGGTCTCCCGGAAGAGCTCGGTCTCCATGGGGACGGCGGGCGGGCGCGCCGGAAGCGGCGGCGCTCGGTGCGGGAGGGCGGCACGTCCGCTCCTCCGCCCGCGGCCCGCCGGACCATGGAGCCGGGACGGGCCGGCTGCCTCCTGCTCCTCCTGCTGCTGCCGGCGCTGGCAGCGGCCGCGCCGGGCGAGTTCGACCCCTACCGCGTGCTGGGGGTCGGCCGGAGCTCCAGCCAGGCCGACATCAAGAAGGCCTACAAGCGGCTCGCCCGGGAATGGTACGTGCTGCCCTTGCACCCCCTCCGCCCGGCCCCGAGCGGATCCCGGCCCCGGCTCGGTGACAGCGGCAGGCCCCGCGGCCCGCGGTGCCGTGAGCCGCCTCGCCTGGCGGCGCGCCCCGGCGTCCTCGCAGGCCGGCCGTCAGCCTGACACACACGTAGATGCTGCATGCCGGCGATACTGCTGTAAAACCCTCTGGAGTCCGGCTGCGGGGGGAGAAGTTCGCTCCGAGTCTGCTTACGAGGGGAAAAAGTTCTCCCAGAATCACGATGCAGGGGGGGAAAGTTCTCCCAGAGTCTGGCTGGGGTGGGAAAATTCGCACGGAGTTTGGCTACGGGTGGGGGAAAGTTCTCCTGGAATCTGGCTACAGAGGGATAAGTTCTCCTGGAGTGTGGCCGTGGGGGGAAAATTGTTGCAGAGTCTGGCTGCAGGAAAAAAGTTCCTCCAGAGTCTGGTTACAAAGGGAAAAAGTTTTCCCAGAATCAGGCTACAGGGAGAAAAGTTCTCCTGGAGTCTGGCTGTAGGGGGAAAAGTTCTCCTGGAGTCTGGCTGCAAGGGGAAGTTCTCCCAGAGTCAGGTGATGAGGGCAAAAGTTCTCTTGGAGTCTCGCTGTGGGGAGCAAAATTTCTCCCTGGGAGCTTCTAAAACACGAGGGTTGAAGTCTCAGCTTGATACCTGGATGTCCAAGGGCCATTCAGTCACTTTGCTGTGGAAGGGAAATGGGTTGGATGCGCAAATGTCACACCCCTCATGCAGGTGGTGTGTGGTGAGGGGCAGGCTTACAGCATAGAAATAAAATTAATAAAGTAGGCTTACCTGCAGCTTTTAGAGCCTGTGTTGTTCTGTGTGAGACATCCCCGAGGCCATGGCAGGAGGTGATTCAAGGAAGAACCCAGTAGTTATGTAGGGCAGCAGCCAAGGGAGGCATTGCTAGGAAGGGACACACTCCATGTCCTGGGCTCAGGCTGCTGGAGATGGAGCAGAGAGAGGGACAGGCCCACAGGCACACAGCCCACATCCCAGTGCTGCATTTTGGGATGGGGTTTGGGCAGGAACAGCATGTGCTGGGTATAAATCTGATCTCAGCCTCGGGGATCTCAGTGCACGCCCTCACTGCCCATGTCCTCCTCACCTCCAAACAGCTCCCCCACTGACCCCTTTTCCTCTGGTTCTGCCCCACAGGCACCCTGACAAAAACAAGGACCCAGGAGCAGAGGACAAATTCATCCAGATTAGCAAGGCCTATGAGGTAACACATGCTTCCTGTGAACTCCTGCTATCGTTAACATTAAGTGACCTTAGTTTTCCATACATTGCTTTGTGTTTTTCCAGTGTATGTCTGTGTGGGAAAGGTGCTTGACGCTGTGGAGGTGGACATTACCCACCTAAATATTTGCTCAGCTTTATTGACAGAGCCACTGGGGTCACCAGCATGGTTTCTGCTGTAAATACTTTGCTACAGGTCTGCCTTGCTCTGCCTAAAAAGCCTCAAAGAAGGAAGGAGTGGGTATTCCCCAAGCCCTGCCCAGCTGACCAGCATGTTGACTGTGTCACATATACATAAAAGCATTTTGGGGTCATGTAAGCAATGTTCATCATCACAGGGATTTAGTCACCTCAAATTAGTCTTAGCAGTAGTTATTTGCACGTTCTGGAAATTGGTTGCTCCAGTTTGTGGCAGCCAAGTCCATGAAAATCAAAATAAATCTTTATTTCCCTGCTAAAAAAGTGCAGTTTCTCTGCAGGGCTTTTGGCTGCTCAGTGAAACTTCTGGCACTTTCTGAACCTTGTAGATTCAAAGAGACACCAGGAAAATCCACTCCAGAAAAGTGTTTGTGCTCAGAACACAGAATGTTCAGACCCGAGGAGCTGTTGGTTACAGAAGTGGGTACAGCAGTCTGGATTTAGGGGCTCCTTTTCTTTGGACTTTCAGGGTTTTTTACCCTTATTTACCAAAGAGAAGGATGTGATGCTTCCTTTTTCCAAAATATTTATCTGTCTGATGTGCAGCAAAGACTGCACATTGCTTATGTTATTTACTGAGGGATTACAGTCAGGGCAGTTCCCCCTCATGGTTTCAGGCAATCATTTTTCCATCATTTGCTTTCCAGATTCTCTCCAATGAGGAAAAGAGGGCAAACTTTGATCGCTACGGAGATGCTGGGGAAAGCCAGGGCTTCTCTCAGCATCAGCACCGCCAGTTCCACCGCTTCCACGATGGCTTCTATTTTGATGAGTCCTTCTTCCATTTCCCTTTCAATTCCGAGAGGCGTGACACCTCCGACGACAAGTATTTGCTCCACTTTTCCCACTACATCAATGAAATCGTGCCAGATAGCTTCAAGAAACCTTACCTCATTAAAATCACCTCAGACTGGTGCTTCAGCTGCATCCACATCGAGCCCGTGTGGAAGGAAGTTGCTCAGGAATTGGAGGCTCTGGGTAAGGATGCGGTTGTTGGGGTTGGGTGTGTGTCCCTCGCCTCGTAAGGCTGCAGTGGTTTGCCTTCAGGTTTGTGTGACCCAGTTTAGACCCGGTGGATGTCCTCAGGGTTTTATCCTAATGCTCTCCCAAACATTCCTAACTCCAAAGCAGGGTGCTGGGCAAAGGAGCAGGTAATCAGTTTTGCACTGGGCATTTGGGTTGTGGGGGATCTTAGAGGTGAACCCGGTGCTCTCCTTTTCCAGGAGCAGGAATCGGCGTCGTTCACGCGGGGTACGAACGGCGCCTCGCCCACCATCTGGGTGCCCACAGCACTCCAACCCTGCTGGGGCTCATTAATGGGAAAATAACCTTCTTCCACAATGCTGTTGTTCGGGAAAACCTGCGGCAGTTCATGGAGAACCTTCTGCCAGGGAATCTTGTTGAAAAGGTAGGTTCTAGCAGGGGTGTGAGATGCTGCTGTTCCTCTCTGCCTGGAGATCCCTCTCTCCTTGACTGTTTCGGTGGATAATCTATTTAATTCAGGCTCCAAGCTGATCTGTGGCACAAAGCTCCAAGCCCTGGAGCTGTCAGAAGTGTTCCCACCCCACAGCTCTGTAACACTAGTCCTTGAAAAGAGGATCCTGTTACTGCATGGTCACACCAGTGATTCTAGTGGCAGCTGACCCCAGCTGTGACACCCCACAGCTGCCAGGGCTCTACCCAAGCTATCCCTAGAACAGGAACCTGCTGGATTTCACTTCTCTCCTGCTTTCTTGGCATTTCATCCAGGAAATTAGGGACCACTTGCTACCTCATAGGTCATGTCTGCTAAAACTCACTGACACAGAGTCCCGTTTGTTTTGCCCAGTCTTCTTCAGACCTTTGAAACGAACTTGCAGTGTGAGCCCTTTCAAAGTCATAAGTAAAATCTCCTAACTGATAAAATATTACTGTGTTTCAGCCTTCTGGTGATTTTTGACAGAGTCCTAAGACGCCCACCACCCCTGTGATGTGGCTGGGTCAGCCCCCACAGCACTCTCACCTGCCTGGCCTCTGCTCATGGCCTTGTTCACCTCACCTCATTTTCCCTTGGGTCACCTTCCCCAATGGACTCTTCACTTGTCTTCTGGTTATTGGAGTTATTGGACTTCTCACCCCAAAAATAGGGATAATTTCCCCTTCTACAGTAACTGCAGCCATTTATGTGCTTTCTGAGAGGTAGCACACCTGAAACAGAGCAGGTTTACTGGAGCGCTCAGGCTTCTTTTAACCCTTGGGTTTCCATTTTTATGTATATATAAATTGATATCTGACAGCTCAGAGGTTAAACTGATATTCTGCTTCTGTCTAAAGATTACAGATAAAAACTACATCCGCTTTCTGTCCCACTGGAGGAAAGACAACAAGCCCCACGTGCTGCTCTTCGATCACATGCCAGTTGTGCCATTGTTATACAAGGTAATGTCATTTCTCTCACTGCATTGTTGCCTTGCTTACAAATCCAGATGTTCCAAATTACAGCACGCCACTGCCATGAGCAGAGGTGGACTGATGCTTCCAGACACCACTGACTGGCTTGAGGAGAGCAAGGTGATTTGTGCAGGTTGTAAATGATATGTCCAGGTGACCAGCTTTGTAAGGAGTCTGTTTCTTCGTCCTGACACAGTTACCCTTCATGGGTGTGAAGGTGCAGGTGTGTTTCAGAGGTAGCAGCAACACAGGTGCACAACCTTTGTTGAGAATGAGAGATGTTTGTGGCCTATCTAATTTGGGTTGCTGAAAATCCCATTTCCTAACAAGCCCCTGCCACCCTACAACATGTCAGGCTGTAAATAAAGCTGTGGATCCGTGGAGACTCCTGGCACAATGACTAAGAGGATGCAAAATTTGGTTCAGTGAGGGAGATGATGGGATTGAAACAGCGGGATGTGTTCTTGGAGCAACGTCACCACGGGCACTTGGGGGAGCAAATGCTTACACTGTAACATAACTATGCTGGGGATTTCCTCCTGCCCAGCTGACGGCCTTTGCCTACCGAGATTACCTCTCCTTTGGCTACGTGTACGTCGGACTGCGAGGCACCGAGGAGTTGTCCAGCCAGTACAACATCAACGTCTACACTCCCACCATGATGATCTTCAAGGAGCACATCGACCGACCCGCTGACGTTGTGCAGGTATCACTCAGAGCCCTCTCCAAGAGCTTAGGGAAACGGGCACAGAGCTTTTCTGACCGAGCTGGTGATGAGGGCATGGTCAGTGGTGCAGTTTGGAGGAAGAGTGTTTGTTCTCAGCTTAAACTCAGACTTTGGAGGAGGAGAGAGAGTGTTAGGACAAGAGAAGCTTGGGGCACTCCAGCCTGTTGGGGAGCGGGGACACCTGTAACTTTCCAGTCTTGGGACCTCAAAACATCTTGAGTGATTGCAGGGATGACCACAAGGGCTGGCAGCCTTCTCCAGGAACATCCGACAGCTTTCCCCTCCTCTTCCTGCTCATTTCCGACTTCTGCTTTCTTGGTCCTTGCCAGGCACGAGAAATGAAGAAGCAGCTCATTGATGACTTCCTTTCCCAGAATAAGTTCCTCATGGTGGCCAGGCTCACCAGCCAGAGGCTGTTCCAGGAGCTGTGTCCTGTGAAAAAGTCTCACCGTCAGCGGAAGTAAGTGAGGGGTTCCCATTTTGTTTCCCAAGGCTCTGGCGCTGCTCCTAGAGTCGCTTCTGGTTTGTCACTTTGTTCTGCCAAGAGGAAAGGGGTTGGTCATTCCCTCTCACCTCCAGACTGGCTCTTAATCTGCATCTCATTGTGTCACCCAGGCACTGCGTGGTCTTGCTTACTGAGGAAGGAGAGAAGTTTGCTGAGGCTTATGAGGCATTTTTGACTTTTGCTGTGGCCAACACAAAAGACACGCTGAGGTTTGTGCACATCTACAGTGATCGGCAGCCAGAATTCGCAGACTCCTTGCTCATGGATGAGGAGAAGTATCGTGGAAGATCAGCTGTGAGGGTTTTATTTTTTTAATCCCTTCTTCTCTTAGCCTGTCATTTAATTGATGCTGTACCTTGATGTGACACCTGATTCTGGGCAGTGGTTTGAAATGAATCATCTGTCTAGAAGAAAACAAAAGCCCCTTCCTCTCTGATGTGTGCCATGCTCTTGGCTCGTCCAGGTGGTCATTCTGGAGAGACGCAATAATGCAGGGAAGATCGCCTATAAAGTCTTAGAGGAGGCCTGGCAAGGCAGCAAAGAGGACAACTTCATCCTCCTGGATCTCCTGGACCAGCTGAGGACAGACCCTGGCCTTCTGTCATCAGAGACTGTTGTGGCAGACCTGAATGATGAGCTCGCTCCTGTAAGTGCACAGCCTTTCCAGATGCCTGACATTCATGTCACCTTTGTGGACAGTCCCATTATGGTTGTTCAGAGGATTATTTTTATTTTAAAAAACAAGGCAAAACTCTTGGAAGATTTCTTGCTTACAGAAGGAATCTCATGGCATGCTGTGAACCCGTTGGGGCTCTTTATAGTTTTGTCATTTCATTTTTTGCTTTTCATTCTTTTCAAACAGATGTTCCTTATCCGATGGTTCTACTCCACAGTGGACTACATCTCAGACTGGTGGGACAGTTTGTTTCACAGTAACTGGTATGGATTGGGCATCCATTGTTGGTATTCATAGCTTCCTTGTCACCTTATCTTAAAACAGATCCAATTTTAGCATCCTTTTGGGTGGGAGCAGGACAGCACTCAAAAATATGATGGCCTTTAAGACCCAAGAAACAAGCTGAGTTTCTGGGGAAGGCACACTGCCTATGTTATCTGACATAGGCAGGAACTGAAATCAAGGCAGAAAATGTGAACTCACAGATCTGACTGCTGTTTGCACATCTTCCCTCAGGCGAGAAATGATGCCACTCCTGTCCTTGCTCTTCTCTGCGCTCTTCATTCTCTTTGGCACTGTTATTGTTCAGGCTTTCAGGTGAGTGTGCACCAAAATGCCCTCAGGGATAGCTCTTCAGTCCAACCCCAAAGCCTTAAACACGCACAAAATGCTTTTCCTCTGCAGTGATTCGAGTGACACAAGGGACGCTCCACCCTCGGGGAAAGAAGAAACGGCTGCAAAGACGGAGAAGAACGACGTGAGCTTCAGCAAAGAGACTAACAGGTTCCCCCTCTAACTTTTCCAGAATGTTTTCTGCAGAAGCATTGCTCAGGGAGCACCTGTGCAAGGAGGGTTAGTAAAGAGCAGAGAAGTGCTGAAGTTGCACATAGTGCAGTTGTGCAGGGCAGTGCAGGCACAGCAAGGAAGGAGGACCAGTATGCAGCCAGAACCCAGCCAGCAAGGACAAGGGGACACTAATCTGCTTATTAAACAATTCCCACCAAGTTTGCCCAAGAGAGCATCCTCAGGGGAGAGGTAAAGGTCTGACCCACTCATTGAGAGAGGTGCAAACCAAGCTATTGCACCAGTTACATTGGCTTTTGCTACAGGGCACAGGGATGGCTCAGCATAACGGGCTGGCAAATGCACTCACAGTTTCTCCATCCTCAGTTGCTCCCAGTCTTTTGCCCCCCTTTCACTCAGTGTTTTTGTTGCAGCAGGATTCCCAAAAAGAGCTTTGTGGAGGTGACTGAGCTAACGGACATCAACTACACCAGTAACTTGGTGCGCCTGAGGCCAGGGCACATGAACGTCGTCTTGATCCTGTCCAACTCCACCAAAACCCCACTGCTCCAGAAGTTCGCCCTGGAAGTCTACATGTTCACAGGGTAGGCTGGGCCCTCTCCCAGGCTTCTGTTGCTGAATTAACCACTTGTGTGATGCTGCTGTGGTGACACGTCAGGAGTGGGAGTGGCTCCATTGCCAGGAGTGAATGCTTCTGTTGATCAAAGCGGCCTCTGCCCTCATCAGTGGCAATGAGCCACCAAAAACCAAGAGGCTGTTCCCAGCCAGACTTGGTGGTGGTGGCCAGAGGGGTTGGGTGCTGGTGCCACTTTGACTGGAGCCATGATTTGACAAATAGAAAGCACGACAGTGCTGCATACACTGAGCTGAAAAAGGAGCTGCAGCAACACAGCACTGTGCTGTCCTTGTTGACAATTCCTTACCTGTTCAGTAGGAATCCAGCCAGACCCAGGACACGTGCTAATCCCAGTATCTTCTCTGCTCTTCCCCCAGAAGCAGCTCTCTTCACTTCTCCTTCCTCAGCCTGGACAAGCACCGAGAGTGGCTGGAGTATCTGCTGGAGTTTGCACAGGATGCGGCCCCCATCCCAAACCAGTACGACAAGCATTTCCTGGAGCGTGACTACACGGGCTATGTCCTGGCTCTGAACGGCCACAAGAAATACTTCTGCCTCTTTAAGCCTCACAGATCAGGGGACGAGGGGGGAACCCTGGGATCGTGCGAGGATTACGATGCTTTACAACATGCAGAAGCCAGAGGGAAATCCTCCTGCAGCCCGGGATCTAGATCCATTAAAAACAAATTACACAAATTGTCCTTTTGGATGGAACGCCTTCTAGAGGGTTCCTTACAGAGGTTCTATATCCCCTCGTGGCCTGCACTAGACTGAGGAATTTTACAGAGATTCTAAGGGGACAAACTTTTTATGAAGATGACAAGGGACAGCTCTTTCCAGGAATACTCAAGCAAGCTTGATGAATGGACTTTAGGTTTTAGATGAACTTTCCTGGGGCCGGCAATTAGAACACACCTCCCGTCTCTGGAGCCCGGGAGCGCAGCCAAGCGCGCCCGTGTGCCCTCCGCCGCCCCACCGTGCGTTTGGACGCTGTACAACCCCAGAGCCAAGAAGTCCATTGTGCCCCTCTCGTCCTGCCACGTCTGCTTCCCGAGTCGCCCCCATCCCACCTCTTGTTTTACCTCAGTTGAAGAAATCCGTGACCTCCCTGGGTCTGGACCAGCTGTGGCCAGTGGTGCAGGCCGGGTCATGGTACTCCCTCCCCGTCCCCGTGTGCTTAGCCCATGGTGCATGGTGTAACTCTGGCAAGACCCTGCAGACTCTCCAGGCCCTGCCCTTCCGAAAGGCCTCCTCCCACCAGGCAGTGGTACTCTCTCGGCTTTCCCCATGGTAAGTGATGCAGAATCCGGTTAGGAGCATCTCCCTTGTAGCAGACCTTAGCTGGGAGCCCCCCATAGTGCAGGCTCGTGGGCGATCTGCATGTTTCATGCTCCTCGTGTCATGGTTCCACTGGCTGAACCATAACAGGGAGGGAAAGGGCACGGCCGTAAAATACTGTCAAAGTGTTGAGTCATTTAAATGTCATGTTGATTTTCCAGATGCCTTTTCTGCTTCTGTCGATTTTAGACGATGTATCCTAGAGCCATAATTTTACCTGCGTCCTCAGATTGTAGGCGTGAGCTGCTATGAGCCAGTAGATGTGTAAAAAAGTCTACGTAGCTGCCAGGGAGTCACCTGGGCTCCTTGCAAACACCTTTCCAGCTGTAGTACAAACCAACCTTCCTTTGTATCAAGGAACCTCAACCTTCAATGATTGTATTCTTGAAATGTTGCCCCAGAAGTGCTGTATCATCAGACTGTTGCGTGCGTGTGAAGCTCCTTTGGTTTAGTTGGAGGTTGAGATGTTGGGTTTCAGCCTCTCACCCATTTCCTTCTTACCCCAAACCTCCATTTCTGCACACTCAGGCTGCTCTCGTGGCTTTGTGTTTGTTTGCTTGGGTATTTCTTTCATCTTTTGGAAGCATTGGGGGTGTGTGAGGTTAGAGCAGCTGCACAGCCCTGGGTTTGGACATTGCTTTGCTGTAGCTGCTTCCAGCACCACAGGGAAAGGGTGCCCCTGGGTAAGGCAGAAGGATGATAAACAGCAGCCTGGTGGCTGCTTAACACTCCTTGAGTGACATAGTGAGGCAGCAGGGCTTCTCTTTGTGGCAAGGACTGAAATCCTGTGAGGTTTGTTCTTCCTTCTCACTGCACCGGGGCTGACACTGGCGCCCAGGCCTCCTCCTTCCATGGATCTGGAACCCTGGGGCACCATCAGGCTCCAGCATTGCCAAAGCACAGGGATGGGGGCCAGTGGCCTTTGTCACAGGGCTTGGAGCACAGAGCACTCAGTGAACACATGGTGTTAATTCCAGACTCAGCCCTTGCCACTTTAGTTACCATCTTAGCAGAGCAGCCAGTCAGTAGGAATAACTGCCAACCCCTGAGCTAGCTGCTGATCCCGCAGAGAAGTTGGGAATGCTCCAGTCATTGCACTCCCTGTGTGCCCTAATTGCTCCCAAAGCCTTGCCTCATTGCATTTCCCCATCCTGGGAGCAGACTGGCATGCTCCAGCCCCCACAGGTACCTCAGATCCCCTGTACAACGTGCTTCAAATAAAGGCTGCAATACTACAAACGACCCTATGTGAGGTTAATTAATGTAAGTTAATTCCAGCCCAGTGCACTCTGGGCCACAGAATGAGGCACTAAAGTAGAGGGAAGGAAGGAAGGTGAAGTCTTCTCCCTGCCCTGGAGCTCCTGTGAAGCTCCTGTGAACACACACAGGCAGTGCTGATAGAGAGCAGAGAAGGAGTGAAACACCAGCCTGATGCTTCTAGACTTCATTTCCACCTGGCTGGAGCAATCACTGCAGCACTCCTTCACTTTTCCCACAGCTTGCCATGCAGGATGTGGTTGGAATAGTTTTTAGCCCAGCAGAAGGCTCCACATAACATCTTAAACATTTGCAATAGCAGAAGAATGCTCTCTGGCTCTCTGCTGTTTCTTCAGCTGATCAGAAACAAGGAGAAAACCCTCAACTCATGAAAAAAAGTGCCTAGTTATGCTACAAGTGAGGGAATTCAGCCCAACCCTGAGGAAGGGGAGAAGGCTTTATGGCCTTCACATCCATTGTGTGTTGCATGCTGCCAGAATCATTGGATTTATTTTCTTTTTAGCACAGGTAACCTCCCCTTTCAGCCAGGGAGTGTTTGCATCAGTCCACTGGTGCTGGCTGGGGCTGGACAGGAGCACAGCTCCTGGATTTTTATGGAAATTTTGCCTAAGTTGAAGCAAAAGCCAAGCTGCTCTGCCCCCTGGTTAGTGCCAGCATGGCACTCCAGGTGTTTGCTGTCTTGAGACCACGGTCAGAGCTGCTTATCCCAGGATCTGCCCTCTCCCAGCAGCCATGAACCATCACCCCATCATTTTCTGAACACTTGTGATTCTGTTCCACACGCGGTGATTTGTAATCCAAAGATTGAGGAGATTGGGTCCTAGTGCACTTTCCTAGTGAGATTTGAGCGATGGCACAGTGCTCAGAGCTGAGGCAAAGGGATACAGGCCCCAGAGTGGAGATTGTTCCCAAACTCCTCCCTGTCCCTGTCTCTGCCCTTCACCCACAGCAACCAGGAGCCAGGACACGAGCGCAGCCTGACAAGTAGGACTGAGAACTAGGTACCTATTTTGCACTTTTGATACTGGGAGGGGGGAAATTAACTTATTTGGCAAACTTGTCTTTTTTATTTTTGGGGGGTTTTGTTTTGTTTTTGTATTTGTGATCAGGCACTGATGTCATTTTGTTTTAAGACAATTACAGTTTCGCAACCAAAATAAACTATTTTAATGTGTGATGAGGTGGCTCTGTGTCTCCATGTCCAAACTAACCTCACCTCCATGTCCTCTCAGACATTTCAGGAGCGTTAAACTGCTCCTGCCATAGGAAACTCCTGGTTATTCCACCAGCAGACAATCTAGACAAATATCTCCCTACTCTCAGCAGGAGGCACAGGCCCCCTCCATGTCCTCCCTTCTTCCAAATTCATTGTCCTGCTGCAACATCCTAATGGCTCAAACCTTTCACCAGTGAGAGTTTTTCCAGGAGCCCTGTGAGCTGGGTGAATCATTCCAGAGGCAAAATGGCATTAGCCTCATCTATGCCTTTCCCAGGCCAGCTCCAAAGCTCCAGACCCCAGTTAAATGGGGTGTCTAGCCTGTTCCCTACAGTTTCCCAGCTAAAAAATACCTTTTCTAGTAGTAAATGGCATTTATTTCATGCTGCAAAGCCCATGCTGGCTGCAGCTGTCTGAAGGGGAGGGGACATGGAAAGCCTGGCTGAGAACACAGAGAAGCGTTTCCCCAGGGCAGGTGGGAAGTGCTCTCACAGTGTCTTCACTCCTGGGAGGACACACAGCATCTCAAACAGTAGGTTTGCCCCCAGGAGGGCTGTATTGCCTAAAAAAACAAGCAAAAAAAAGGAAATCTGTGTATATCCAACAGCTTTCACCCCCAGGCACCTGTGCCAGGCACTTGTCTTGCCCTCAGGCATCTTCAGACTCACCAGAGGCATCATACATTGGTGCAACTTCCACAAGGTCACACCCCACTATGTTCAGGCCTTTGCAGCCACGAATAATCTCCAAAGCCTAGGGAAAAACATGGATTTGGGATCAAGAAACACATCTGACCTAACAGACCGGTCCAGGCTCTGCTTTCCCCATATTCCAGTAAGGAAACCCAGCCTCTAGAGAACAAATCACATCAGTTCCACATTTTCCTTCCTCACCACCATGAGGAAACACTTCCTGGCCTCCCTAACTTCCACTTTGCAGTGCTGGTGAAACGACCTCCTTTAAGGGAGCAAAAGAGCCCTTTCCCCCTGGGCAGGGCAGCGTGTCCCTCACCTGTGCAGGTGTGAGCCCGGCTATCTCGGGGGTGCCGGTGCCCGGGGCGTAGGCGGGGTCCAGCCCGTCGATATCGAAGCTGATGTACATCGGCCTCTCCCCCATCTGCGCCCTCACCTCCCTCATCAGCGGCTCCAGGGACTTCATCCAGCACTCCTCAGCTGGGACCACGCGGAAACCCTGCGGGAGCACAGGAAAGGGGGGAGATGAGGAGCATCCCCTGCCCTGCTGGGGAATATCTACCGGGAACAATCCTCATTCCAGGGCCAAGCTGCAGAAGTGCACCTGGAAATACTTCCACTCCCCACACACACAAACTCCCCACCCAGCTGACATTCTGCGAGCCGGGAGTGCCTGTCCTGCAGACAAGCCGCTGGCATGGAACAAGAGGCAAAAAAATGCATTTATTTCCCGTCTGAAGCCAAGTAAACGTTACTGACGCGGTATTTATGGCAGGGGGAGCACAGAGCTCTGTGTGCGGATCAGTTTACCTGTTCCCGGCAGTACTTCTGAGGATCGGGGTCATAGGAGGAGCCTCGGATGCCGATCTGCACCACGCGGCCGCAGTCCAGCAGCCCTTCCTCCGCACAGCGCCGGAACGAGCTCCCGTGGTAGATCCGCTGCCCCAGGGCCGTGTCCCCGGTGTCCGTGTGAGCATCCACGTGCACCAGCCCCACGGGACCGTGCCTGCTCGAGACACGGTGGCCACGCTAGTCCTGTCCCGTGTGTGGTGGCCCTGCCAACAGCAGGGACAGCAAACCTGGAGCCTTGCTGAGGCTCCTTCCCAGGTCCTTTCTCTCCATCTCCAGATTAGAAACTTACTTTGCAGCCAGAGCCTGCAGGATTGGGTATGTTATGGTGTGATCTCCACCTGCAAGAAGACACAGGGAAGAGGGGGAATACACTACAGAAGCTGCTCAGTGCTCATTACTTTTGCTCCTAAGTAATTTTTTCCCCTCTTTGCATTTATCCTGCACTTATTTATGCAGGGCTTCATTGCCAAAGGAAAACTAACACTCCCATGTGCAGGTTGCTTCCTCTCCTGGGTCTTCTCTTCTCCTGGTCTTCCTTTTAGGGAGGACCAGATATGCAGAACTGCCAGCAGGGACAGCCTTGGAGCAGGATCCTTGATTGGGCTTATAAACAGATATTTGATCAGCTTCTAGGACGCTGTAACTGGTGACTTGCCCCTCGTTACTCCACACACTCACTGCCTTCAGCAGCACTAATGCCAAGCACTAACAGCTGCGAACTTGAACACGCACCCAAATCAGGCTTCGTGCAAAGCCTGGTGCTCGCTCAGCTGGAGGGACACAAGGGACAACACCTGCTCTTGCTTTGGGTCCTGCTCAACAGCACACCAAAAACACGTCAATGGTATTATTTGCAGACAGACCCATCCTCCTCGTTTTTGACCCAAAGGAAGAGGCATCACAGAACATTCTGTTCAGTGGAGAGCCTGTGAATTTACCCATGATACAGCACAACAGCCCAGGCAGGGAACGGATTCATCGCTCGCCTTCTGCCAAGGCTGGATTGAATGACAGGAGAAGCAGAGGGAGTTTG